CCGGGGTAGGACTCGGGTAATAACAGTTTTTCAAGCTCCCTGGATGGATCTGCTGTGCAGCCAGAGTTGAGAAGTCCTGGCCTCTAGGATAAAGTCCACATTGCTTACAACGGGGCTCCAGGCCATTGCTTCTCCATGTTCCATCTCTAGTTTTCTTTGACAACCTCTTCTCTCCCTTCGGGGAAGCGGGGAGAGCCTGGCCTTGGTGCTGATTGGTTGCAGACAAATCTCAGCTCCTCTCTGACAGTGGGGCTCTCTGAACATGTCCGAACTTCCATTTCCTGGTACGCAGTCTCTGCTACGCCCTTCACCATGGGCTGTCCCCCACAATGGGGGGAAGTGTGAAAATTAGGAAGTGTGAAAAGTGTAAATTAGGAAGTGTGAAAAGTATACCTGGCATTAACAAGAGCTCAAAAATAGGAGAGCCCCTTACCTCACAGGGTGGGACCTAGGCATCGGTAATTTTTTAAAATTATTTTGAAATCATTTTAGACTTAAGGAAACCTTGCAAACTTCATACAGAGAGTCCCATGGATATTTTATCCAGCTTTCCCTGACGTTCACATCTACTATGGCACAATTATCCCAAACCGGAAATTAAAATTGTCATAGCGCCGTTGATAATCTTCTATCGATGATTTCCATGAGCGCCCTTCTCCCTCACTTGTTTATTTATTTAGTTAGTATTCAGTGTTTATTTCTATCAGAATGGAATAATGGATGTTTATTATATGTGCTATAATACAACACTATCCTTTATTCTGTTGCTCAAATTGTTCCAGCTTTGGCCAATGGGAACTCCTTCAGCTTCACTCTGTGCCCTGTCAGCATGCCCCCATCCTTTCCAAAGTACTTCCTTACTTTATTAAAAGATATTCCAGGGGCGCCTAAGTGGCTCAGTTGGTGAAGCGTCTGCCTTCGGCTCAGGTCATGATCACGGGGTCCCATGATCCAGTCCGGCATCGGGTTCTATGCTGTGTGGAGTCTGCTTAAGTTTCTCTCTCCCTCTCCCTCTACCCCTGCCCCCCTACCCCTCTCTCTCTTTCCCTCTCTCTCAAAATAAATAAATAAATCTTAAAAAATAAAAAAATATTACAGGTTCATCTTGTATTTTCTCTGCCTCAGCTCTGGAGTCAACTATTTCTCTAGAAACCCTTTTGTTGATGTTATTATGAAGGATGCTTAGAAACTAATACCTGGGTGCTCATTGCTCCTGGGGTCTCTGCTTCTGGGCTCTCTCAGTGGACAGAGCTGGGAAATCGATGTATTTTTACCAACCCACACATATACACACATCCATATCTCTGTCTCTCTCTCTCTCTCCCCCTGTATACATCAAGAACATAAAATTGATACTGATACTTCTGATTTTTTTAAAAGACTTTATTTATTTATTTGACACAGAGTGAGCCAAGCAAGGGGAGTAGCAGAGGGAGAGGGAGAAGTGGGCTCCCCACTGAGCAAGGAGGCTGATGTGGGGCTCGATCCCAGGACCCTGGGATCATGACCTGAGCCGAAGGCAGCCGCTTAACCGACTGAGCCACCCAGGCGCCCCTTCTGATTCTAATCACCAGTTTGTTTCAGCTTTCCTTTTAACTCCTTTGTAACTTTTTTTTCCTCCCACAGTGATTAACCCCACTCTCATTATCTACAGTGTGTTTATTTGTTCACTTTTAGCACATCCGTGAAGGAATGTCCGAATTGCTCACCTATCTCCCTGTGAGAAACACGTGTTTTAACTAGATTACAGTATTTGCCTTCTTCTTGTCTTTAGCATTAGAGTTCAATTAAAATACAGTTTTCCGAAGGTAAGGCTTTTATTTTTTTTCCTCCACTCTTGTTCATGTGGTTACGCCATGCATTTGGGATAGAGTTAGGCTCGTCTGTTCCTGTTTATATTCCATCCGTGGTTCCCCCACATCCTAGTTGGGTTTAATTATCTGTTTATATTTAGGGTATGCGCAGGGTTTGCGGAACATTACCATGGTTCTGAGAGCCAGAGCCACACAAAAAGATGCTCGGGGAAGGGTCTGTCCCTCCTCATCTTACCACCCCGTTCATCCCCACCCTGTAGGTAACCAGGCTCTTCAGTTTCTGGTTTATCCTCCGAATTGGTAATTTTCGTACATCTCTCTGGAACTGAGAACCCCACTCTCCTCTCTGCATTCCTCCTCCACACTCTCGCCTCTCAGAAGTTCCCCAAACACAGCCCGCTCGGGCACACCCTGAGCCTTGGCCCTTGCTGTTCCTAAGGTGCTGTTCCAACACCTTCTGGCCTTCCCATCCCAGTTCAGACTTTCCCTGGCCCCCGTTGGCCGCCGGTTCTCTGGCACTGCACCCCCCTCTAAGGTAGGGGTTAAGTCTTTCATCTAGGCACCTAGTCTCTGCCACTACAGAGGAGGGAGGGGCCCAGCCTTGGTGCTCCAGGCACTCCCTGCCCTCAACACCCAGATTCAACACCACTTTGTCGACTGCTTCGTTCTGCACGTCCAGCCTGCCATTAGTGAGCCCCTGGCTAACCCCACCTACGCCTTCCCCCTTCCTTCCTGGGTGCCCAGCACTGCTGCTCAGGGCTTGTTACACGGCTTTGAAGCTGGGCTCCTGTCAGTGCATGTATTTACATCCATCTCCGGTTCCCCACCTAAAAAGAGGGCCAATTTCTTTTGTTTTCTCTCCCTGCCTTCCAAGGGTCATTTTACAGCCCTGGGGAGTATTGTGCGACTGTGTTGGGGATGTGGCGCCACCTGGTGGATGCCGCAAGAAAGGCCTCATCTGCTTCCCAAATACACTGTGGCCGACGATTTCCACCAGGAAACAAACCAGCTTCAAAGGTCGAATACTGTCTGTGCTTTTCTTCCTTTTTTTCAGACCACCTTTAGATGGGAAAAGGCAAGGAAACCTTCTATGCATTGTCTTCCATGATCAATCCCACAGGAAAATTTTCTTCAGTGGAATCCCTGACCCCATGAAGTTTGGGGGCTTCCTTATGGGATTAGTTAGCCCGGTTCTCCAGGGATTGTGGATATAGTCGAAGGTTGGCTGCATGAGTGAGGAGCTCAGGGTTAAACAGTGGTCTCTCAAGACCTGCCAGCTTCTTCTCTCTTGTGTTTACTCAGATTATCTCAGCTCTCTCTCTAAAGCAGAGAAATAGAAAACCATAGAACCGGAGGATAATTCACTACCGTTGCTCCATTTTACAAGTAATTATAATTGCTTCCTTTTTTAGGGCTTTAAGTTTGTGAAGCATTTTCTCAATGATCCTCAATGTCCTGAGGCACACAGACTGGCTGTTATTATCGTGACATATATGGGGAAACTGAGGCCCAGAGAGGTTCATGGACTTGCCCAATTAACAGAAGAGCCAGGTCTGGGCGGAACCCGGGCTGCCTGATTCCAAATCCACTCTTCTCGCTACCACATGAAAAAAAATCAATGGAAGTAGAAATTTTACAGTTTTATATTTCTTTACTTTTTATTTAAATGTTCAGATTTGGGGTTTCTAAGTGTCACATAATGTTATTTAGAGGCGCCTGGGTGGTGCAGCCAGTGAATCGTCTGCCTCTGGCTCAGGTCATGATCCCGGGGTCCTGGGATCGATCCCCGCATCGGGCTCCACGCTCAGCGGGGAGTCTGCTTCTCTCTCTCCCTCTGCCCCTTCCCCTGCTTGTGCTCTCTTGCCTGCTCAAATATATAAACAAAATCTTTTTTAAAATATTTATATTTTACTTAATTATTTGTTCTTTAAAATATATAATATGGAAAAAGCACAAGTTAGCAAATTTCCTAGCTCTAAAATCAGTTTGGATCTAAAGAAATCAGACAGTATGTTTACCCCAAAGGGCAGTGGCCACATTTATGTGTCCCCAGCACACAACAAGATGTTTGGCACAACATAGGATCTCAATAAATGTTTGTTGAATGAAAGAAATATGAAAACTATGGGTCTAATATCCATTTACATTCTCAGGGACATGTGTTTATAGAGTGCATTCCCTATAGAAAAAAATAGGAGTTGAAGATAATAGATGAATTTCGAATCTAGAACATCAGAGATGGAAGGATGTGGAACATCATGTAGCCCCACCCAGGTAAATATGGGTGTATCTCTGCAAAATAGCAAGTTCGTGCAATCTCCTTGCCCTTTATTAAACAGGGGAAATAACAATATTAACTTTATGGGGTGGTTGTGGAGTTAGATGATTCTGACAGTGCCGTGCACAATAAATATTAGCTATTGTTAGCATCTCAGTATTTGTCGAGAGAGTGAAGCTGAGTCCTTACCTGCCACCCTACCTTCCTCAATTCCTCTGGCCACCCTCTACCATCCACCTCCCATGCTCCACTAGCTAAGCTGAGAACTGCACGTGGAAGAGAACATTCTAGATGGTGAGGGGGGTGAAGCATTGCACTAAAGAACACTAAGTCTCTCTCTTCCAGCAGGGTCTGGGAATATGGGTTTGGGTAAATGTTTAAAGTGGGAGATGGTTGGAATGTGGGCCTCCTTAAAAGTGGGGAATGGACTGATTGGTGGAGTGGTCTCTCATGTCCCTTCCAAAGATGGAGGACTTTATCTCGGGTCTCTGTCCAGACCTTACAGCCTTCCCTTTCCTACTCAGATCATACACCATTCTCCTCCACCCAGTAAATGGCATCATGGAGAGAGGTTCATTATGAAGGCAAGGAGAGCTACCTCTTCTAGAGGACATCCAGAAGGTCCCTTTATTTTTTTTTTTAAGATTTTATTTATTTATTTGAGAGAGAATGAGATAGAGAGAGAGCACATGAGAGGGGGGAGGGTCAGAGGGAGAAGCAGACTCCCTGCTGAGCAGGGAGCCCAATGCGGGACTCGATCCAGGGACTCCAGGATCATGACCTGAGCCGAAGGCAGTCGCTTAACCAACTGAGCCACCCAGGCGCCCCTAGAAGGTCCCTTTATCCAGGGGGCAGCCGCTTACTTCCAAGGTGGAGAGCCTGTAGCACACCTCCCTCTCCTTCCTCCTTACAGTGAATCCAATCAGAGCAAGCAAGCACCTTACCCAAAGGCTGTAGGTCAACAGGAGACCAGGGACCAATAGTCTGTCATTAAAAGATAGGCTGAGTTAGGGCACCTGGATGACTCAGTCGGTTAAGCGTCCAACTCTTGATCTCAGCTCAGGTCTTGATCTCAGGGTCCTGAGCTAATTGAGCTAATGTGATCCCTTCTCTCAGGAATGTGAACCTGGAAGTTAAAAAGAGATTGAACAACTTAGCAACAGGGAGAGAAGCTGGATAGTTTTGAAACAGAGAATGGGGCATGGGGCAGCAGGGGGATAGGCCCTGAGCAACTGAACTTAGGAAGCAGTGAAGACAGGTTTATAGTGTTTGGAAAACATAAGAATAAAATAGAGACAAGCGGCAAGTCAGGATGGAACCCAAGCATGCCTCTCCCTGAGTTGCCCCAATCCCAGCCAGCCCTAGTAGTGGGGTCCCCGCCTTATAACAACCCCTCTTTTACTTAAGAAGAGAACCTGTTCCCTAACACCAAAGAGCCTAATCAGATCTCAAGACTTGGCCAAGGCACAGACACAGAGGTTTCCAACAGCAGTGCCTTCAAAAAAAGGTTGCATTTCAGATACTCTGTTGGCAGGAAGTGTGTCAGTGCCATCGTGGGAAGACTTTAGAGGAAGCAGTGCAAAACAAAGACTTTGCGATGTATACAGAAGGCTGTCAGATGATGCTTACTCCCCCAGTAACCAATAGTGCAAGCCCTTACATACAGGCACATGAGCACATGCACACACCCTGCCCCCGGTCCCACTGCCAGTATCTCCACAACTAGATACCAGCAAAAGCTAGAGCCTTGGAGCGGGGTGGTCCACTGTCTCTCCCAAAGCTAGAGCCTTGGAGCAGGGTGGTCCGCCGTCTCTCCCAAAGCTCTTTTCCTTGGGCTTACTCTTTCAGTAGGAAAGATGGAAAGAGAAACAAAAATGTTTGCTTACATGTCTACTCATTGGTGGTCCTCCTACTTGTGGGTGGTGATGTGAACAGCTGATGCTGGTAGTCACCAAGTTCCTGTCACCTTCTGCTAGCCCCTCTGCTCATCTAGCTTAATTTGTGGTGGTGGTATGGCAATAGGGGAAGCTGGTACCTCTGAAAAGAAAATATTTTATATTAAAACAATATTTAAGGTGTGCCTGCATGGCTCAAGTTGGTTAAGCGTCTGCCTTCGGCTTAGGTCATGATCTCAGGGTCCTGGGATCGAGCCCTGCATCATGCTCCTTGCTCAGCGGGAAACCTGCTTCTCCCTCTCCCCCTACCCCTCTCTCACTCTAATGTGCTCTCTCTCACTCTAATGAATAAATAAAAAATCTTTTAAAAAAATATTTAAGTATTCAGGTTGGAGTTAAGTTGAAAATTATATGATACATGATATTTTTTTCTGGATCTGCTTCTAGAGTAGTCTGCGGTGCTGTAGCCCACCCCCAATATCAAGTAGAGTAGGGCAACATGTGCCCAGAACACCTGGATTTTGGTCTCATACAATTCCCCAGCAAGAACCGAGGAGCCTCGGAAAGTTTCTGATTCTATATTTTGGAGCGAGGATAATTCAGATGGATCTGGAGCATCACTTTGTTGCCAGAAAGTTTACCTCCAAAATGATCCAGGGCAATTAAGGGATAAAGGAGCTGGTTAAAAGGGCTCCCACTGAGCAAACTGTGACAATTACGGCACATAATTGAATGTGCCAATTATATTCAACCTCCCAGCTCAGAGGTAGCTCTCCTTGCCTTCATAATGAACCTCTCTCCATGATGCCATTTACTGGGTGGAGGAGAATGGCGTCTGATCTGAGTAGGAAAGGGAAGGCTGTAAGGTCTGGACAGAGACCCGAGATAAAGTCCTCCATAGAAAGCAGAACTTCTCTGCACAACCATATGAGGCATACTAAAAAAAAAAGGAAAAGAAAAAAAAAAAGCACGTACAACTTTTTAATGATGTTTACAGTACATTGACAGAGCCAAACTATGTGTATATTATATTCAAGTTTTGGTCAATGTCAAAATTTCATCATTGCAAATCAAACAGCTAAAAGAGTAATTGGAATCCTGGCAGGGGATGCAGAATCTCATCAACTCTACTCAAGAAATAAAAAATTATGGAAGATTTACTATTAAAAAAAAAAACCACAGGGGAGCCTGGGTAGCTTGATTAGTTGGGTGTCTGACTCTTGGTTTCAGCTCAGGTCATAATCTCAGGGTCATGGGATCAGGCCCCATGTTGGTCTCCCAGCTCAGTGCAGAGTCTGCTTGAGATTCTCTCTCCCCCTCTGCCTCTGCCCCTCCTCTCTCTTGCTCTCAATAAATAAATAAAATCTTTTTTTAAGATTTTATTTATTTATTTATTTATTTATTTGAGAGAGAGAGAAAGAGCATGAGTTGGGGGGAGGAGCAAAGGGAGAGGGAGAAGCAGACTCCCCGCTGAACAGGGAGCCTGACGCCACAAGACTCGACCCAGGACCCTGTGATCATGACCTGAGCAGAAGGCAGATGCTTAATCTACTAAGCCACCCAGGCGCCTCTAAATAAATAAATCTTTAAAAGAAAACACACGCACACAGGTTTGGAAAGTCCAATTATCCCCACAGAGACTCCACCTAATAAACACAAACTCATGATGAATCTTCCTGGAAATCACGGTGGACCTCCACCTTGGCAAGAATATACCACTAAAAGTTCAACCCAGAACGCAGCAGTATGGAGTGCCTTGATGGATGGTTCTGTGCCCCTGGCTTGGAAGACTGCATTTGTCATGTCGGGATGAATAAAAGATTCTACCTGAATTGATACTTTGGTGCTGGTTAGGTTATCTGTAATAACAAGTTTCATTCCACAGTTTCATTTGTACTTCAAGAGGTTTAAAACACGTCAGAGAATCTGTTATATTTAGTGACTGTTTTTATTAGATTTACAAGAGTTGCTTAAGGGTTTAGAAAGATTTTGCTTATTAGATAAAAGCTACATTTGGGGGGTAGTGCATTTGAAAGAATCAGCTAAATTAAATTTGAAAATGTGATTTGAAATGTCTAAGGGAATTTGATCAATTAAGTACAGGAGTGGTGTGGTATAATTAAGGAAGATTTAATCTGTAAAGCCCATGGTTAATTGAAAGTTAATCAAAGAACAAGTAGAAAAAATTCTTATTTTATATAAAAAATAGTACTGGGTTTATTAATAAGATAATATTTGAAAATTGAGGCTCTAGGCTTAGGAGACATGGGATATTTAAGCTTACTATTTTATTTATTTTTTTTTTTATTTTTTTTTAAGATTTTATTTATTCATTTGACAGGGAGATAGAGCCAGAGAACACAAGCAGAGGAAATGGCAGGGGCAGAGGGAGAAGCAGGCTCTGCACTGAGCAGGGAATCCCGATGCGGGGCTCAATCCCAGGACTCTGGGATCATGACCTGAGCCAAAGGCAGACGCTTAACCATCTGAGCCACCTAGGTGCCCCTAAGCTTACTATTTTAATCAACTAAATAATAATTAAAACACAAATCACTTTTAAGTATTCCTATCATGCCCAAAAGCCCCCTCAGAAATTTTTTTCATGAAGAAATAGAGAAGCTGAGTAGACCGGTACCAAGTAAGGAGACTGAATCAGTAATTTAAAATCTCCCCACAAAGAAAAGCTCCAGAGCTGATGGTTTCACTGGTGAATTCTACCAAATATTTATTTATTTATTTACTTACTTACTTATTTATTTATTTTTAAAGATTTTATTTATTTGACAGAGAGAGAGACAGCAAGAGAGGGAACACAAGCAGGGGGAGTGGGAGAGGGAGAAGCAGGCCTCCCTCGGAGCAGGGAGCCCGATGTGGGGCTCGATCCCAGGACCCTGGGATCATGACCTGAGCCAAAGGCAGACGCTTAACGACTGAGCCACCCAGGCGCCCCTCTACCAAATATTTAAAGAGATAATACCAATCTTTCTCAAAATTCTGCCAAAAAATTGAAAAGGAGGAACACTTCTTAACTCATTCTGTGGGTCAGCATTACCCCACTACCAAAACCAGAAAAAGATACTAGGAAAATTCAGCAAATTTCCCTTATGAACACTGATGCAAAAGCCCTCAACAAAATACTAGTAAACTGAACTCAGCAGCACATTAAAAGGATTATACACCATGACAGAGTGGGATTAATTCCTGCAATGCAAGGACGGCTCAACATATGAAAATAGATCAACAAATACACCACATTAACAAAATAAAGCAAAAAAGCCAATTGATCATCTCAACCGATGCAAAATTTGGCAAGATTCAACACCCTTACGTGAAAAAAACACTCAACTCTTAGAAGGTGGAGGAGAGTCAGTAATGTATCCTCCAGACTGAGAAGGCACTTTAATACTGAAACACAAAGCAAGCCACTCCATACCACCTACTCTGCCAGTAACTTACTAACAGGGGCAATCCCGAGGGCTGGCCGCTGCGACCAATCCAGGTGGTACTAAGCTTTTATTCTGCACCCATTCTCTGCCGGGCCCTGACGGCAACCCACAGCTTTTATAAAGCAAGGGGCGTGGTGGTGAGGTCCCAGGGTAGTTATCTAAAGTGGTGCCACCTGTGTGCCTGACTGGCCCTCTACCAGTTATCTAAAGTCACCTGTGCCAAGATGGAGGACCAAAGATGGAGTCAGTGTTGCCAGCACTCCTACACTCAAACAAACTAGGAATAGAAGTAAACTGCCTTGGGCGCCTGGGTGGCTCAGTTGGTTAAGCGACTGCCTTTGGCTCAGGTCATGATCCTGGAGTCCCGGGATCGAGTCCCGCATCAGGCTCCCTGCTCGGCAGGGAGTCTGCTTCGTCCTCTGACCCTATCCCCTCTCATGTGCTCTCTGTCTCTCTCATTCTCTCTGTCTCAAATAAATAAATAAAATCTTAAAAAAAAAAAAAAAAAAGAAGTAAACTGCCTCCACATAATAAAAAGCCATATGAAAAACCCATAGCAAACATCATACTCAATGGTGAGAAACTGAAAGCTTTTCCTCTAAGATCCGGAAAAAGACAAGAATGCCTGCTTTCACTGGTTCTATTTAACATCGTACTAGAAGTTCTAGCCAGAGCAGTTCAGTCAGGCAAAAGGAAAAGAAAGAAAAGGCATCCAACTGGAAAGGAAGAAGTAAAATTATCTCTGCTCATAGATGATATGATCTTATAGGTAGAAAACCCTAAAGATTCCACACACAAAAAAAAAACTGTCAGAGTTAATAAATGAATTTAGCAAAGTAGCAGAATACAAAGTCAACACACAAAATTCAGTTGCTATACACTAACAATAAACAATCTGAAAGGGAAATTATGAAAATACTTCCATTTACAATAGCAACAAAAAGAACAAAATACTTAGGAATTAACTACAAAGGTGAAAGACTTATATAATGAAAACTACAAAATATTGCTGAAAGAAATTAAAGAAGACATAAATAAATGGGAACACATCCCATGTTCATGAATTGAAAGATTTCGTATTGTTAAGATGTCAGTACTATCCATGGCGGCCGCTAAGGACACCCATGAGGACCATGACACCTCCACTGAGAATGCAGATGAGTCCAACCACGATCCCCAGTTTGAGCCTATAGTTTCTCTTCCCGAGCAGGAAATTAAAACGCTGGAAGAAGATGAAGAAGAACTTTTTAAAATGCGGGCAAAGCTATTCTGATTCGCTTCAGAGAATGATCTCCCAGAATGGAAGGAACGAGGCACTGGTGACGTCAAGCTTCTGAAGCATAAGGAGAAAGGGACCATCCACCTCCTCATGAGGAGGGACAAGACCCTGAAGATATGCGCCAACTATTATATCACGCCGATGATGGAACTGAAGCCGAACGCGGGCAGTGACCGTGCCTGGGTCTGGAACACCCATGCTGACTTTGCCAACGAGTGCCCCAAGCCAGAGCTGCTGGCCATCCGCTTCCTAAATGCTGAAAATGCACAGAAATTCAAAACAAAGTTTGAAGAATGCAGGAAAGAGATCGAGGAGAGAGAAAAGAAAGGGTTGGGCAAAAACGACGATGCCGAGAAGGTGACTGAGAAGCTAGAAGCTCTCTCCGTGAAGGAGGAGAGCAAGGAGTTGGAAGACACCGAGAGCAAGGCTGGAGCGGAGGAGGAGCAATAAGCCACCTCCCCTTGACTTCCTTCCGTTCTTTTCCTCCTTTTTCTTTTTTTAAATTTTGCCCTGCCCCTTCTTTTCAGTTTGTTTTTATTCTGTTTTGTTTTTACAAGGGACTTTATATAAAGAACTGAATTCAAAAAAAAAAAAAAAAAAAAAGATGTCAGTACTATCCAAAGCAATCTACAGATTAAATGCAATCCCTATCAAAATCCCAATGACATTTTTTTACAGAAATAGAAAAACCCAACCTAAAATTCATAGGGAATCTCGAGAGACCCTGAATGGCCAAAACAATCGTGGAAAAGAACAAAGTTGAAGGACTCAGACATCCTGATTTCAAAACTTACTGCAAAGCTACAGTTTTCAAAACAGTATGGTACTGGCATAATGACAGACGAATAGAACAGAATACAGAGTCCAGAAGTAAATCTTCATATATACAGTCAAATGATTTTGGACACGTGTGCCAAGACCATTCAATGAGGACAGGACAGTCTTTTCAACAAATGGTGCTGGGCAAACTGGATATCCACATGCCAAAGAATGAAGTTGGACTCTTACCTAACACTATATACAAAAAATTAACTCAAATGGGGGCGCCTGGGTGGCTCAGTCGTTAAGTGTCTGCCTTCGGCTCAGGTCATGGTCCCAGGGTCCTGGGATCAAGCCCCGCATCGGGCTCCCTGCTCCGCGGGGAGCCTGCTTCTCCCTCTCCCACTCCCCCTGCTTGTGTTCCCTCTCTCGCTGTCTCTCTCTGTCAAATAAATAAATAAAATCTTTAAAAAAAAAAAAAAAAAATTAACTCAAATGGATCAAAGACCTAAATGTAAGACCTAAAACTATAAAACTCTTAGAAGAAAACATAGTTGCCATATGGTGAGAGGGCTTCATGATGCTGGATTTGGCAATGATTTTTTGGATATGACACCAAATGCGAGGCAACAAGAGAAAGTAGACAAATTGGACTTCGTGAAAATTTTAAAACTTCACAAAAAAACATCAAATGACAATGTCCACAGAGTAAAATGGTAACCAACAGAATGAGAGAAAATATTTGTAAATCACGTATCTGATAAGGGATCAATACCCAGAGTCTACTGAGAACTCCTAAAACTCAATAACAAAACAGCAACCCAATTAAAACATGAGCAAAGCACTTGAATAGACATTTCTCCAAAGAAGATATACGAATGACCAATAAACACATGAAAAGATGCTCAATATCACTAATCATTAGGAAAGTACAAATCAAAACTATGAGATACTATCTCACACCCATTAGGATGGATGCTATCAAAATTCTCTGAAAACAGCAAGTGTTGGTGAGGATGTAGAGAAATTGGAGCCCTGGTGTACTGTTGATGGGAATGTAAATGGTATAGCTTTGTGGGAAACGGTATGGCTGTTCCTCAAAAAAAAAAAAAAAAAAAAATAGAATTGCCATTTCATTCAGCAATTCACCTCTGGGTCTATATAAAAGATTTGAAAGTGGGATCTTGAAGAGATATTTGTACACCCATACTCATAACAGCATTATTCACAATAGCCAAAAGGTAGAAGCAACTCAATGTCTATTAACCAATGAATGGATAAACAAAATGTGGTGCATACATACAATGGAATATTTTTTAGCCTTAAAAAGAAAGGAGATCCTGTCACATGCTTTAACATGGACAAAACTTGAGGACCTTATGCTAAGTTAAATTACCCCTTCAAAAAGAGACAAATACTGTATGTTTCCACTTATATGAGATACTTAGTCAAAATTATAGAGACAGAAAGTACAATGGTGGTTGTCAGGGACTAGAGGGCAGGGGACATGGGGAGTTGTGAGGGATAGAGCCTCAGTTTTACAATTTGAAAAGAATTATAGAGATGCTTGCTAGTGATGGTCGTACAACATTATGAATGTATTGTACAAAGACCACTGAACTGTACACTTAAAAATAGTCAGGATGGGGTGCCTGGGTGGCTCAGTTGGTTAAGCGACTGCCTTCAGCTCAGGTCATGATCCTGGAGTCCCAGGATCAAGTCCCGCATCGGGCTCCCTGCTCGGCAGGGAGCCTGCTTCTCCCTCTGACCCTCCCCCGTCTCGTGCTCTCTCTCTCTCATTCTCTCTCTCAAATAAATAAATAAAATCTTTAAAAAAAAAATAGGATGATAAATATGTGTTTTACCACAATGGGAAAAAACCAACCACCAGATGCCTCATAATCTGTCATTCCCTGGGTGCTTATCCCTATATTTATTTCCTGTTTATACCCTAATAGAGTCCCAATCACACACCCCTTGCAGGCCTCCCAAACCTCACTGCAACCTTTAGGATGCTTGGTCCACCATCTGCAAATTCCACATACCTTCATTTCCTTCTCTGAACTTTTGCTTCTCTTGCTCGCTTTCACCAAAGCTTGGCTCTCTTCCGTGAGGATACCATAGCTCCTTCAAGTGAAGTCATTTTCTTCTTTTCTTTTCTTCCTTTTCTTTCTTCTTCTTTTCTTTCTTCTTCCCCATGCTCTCTGGAAATCAGGATAGAATTGGTGTCCTCTTTGTCCCCACGGCCATTTCCTTCACAAACCCCAGTTCCTGTGAAATGCCTGCCATCAGACCATTCCAGTACACCACCAGCCTTGCTACTATGATCCACCCACCCCTTAATCACTCTCTCTCCTTTCTGAATTACTTTAGCACCCAGACCCTCGCATTCTTTACCACTCTCCCTTTCACCATTCTTGCCAACTTCAACATTGGCAGAGACAATCCATCCAACATCTTGGCCTCTTGTAACTGAGCCTCTGGTTTTAATGGTACCTGAGACATAATTTCTGGAGGTGGCTGAGGGACAACATGAAAAGGTCAATGCCACTGAAAGAAGTACTTATTATTTACATTTCCTGAGAGGAGGGAGCACACCATGCCATGTGGGGCCACATGGGAGGTACCAGGGTCAGTCAGGAAGCAAGAGGAGCACGTAGAAAGCATGGCCCAGAGCCTCTACTGAGGTTTCCATGGGAAGGAATGGTGAGGCAGGGTGGGAAGTTTGAAGAAGTTTAGGACTGGATAGTTTCAATAATTTTGGTGGGCTCTGGGCTTACAGGGGCTCTAGTTGTCCAGGACCTGGCCCTGGGATCATTTAGAACAGAGGAAATATTGGGTTGGTGTGTGAGAGCTGAAGGAGGTGGTAGGGGGTAAGGGCTCTGGATTGGTTGGTTTGTCATATGAAAGGTATGCTTGTGGTGAAAGTGGGGGGAGTCATTTGTTATCTCTAGGAATTAGCTAGTCCCGGGAGGGGCAGCCTTTCTAGGATTAGCAAGGCCCCCAAATTGTAAAACATCATAAAATAAGGAAAATTTTAAAAACGTGACTCATACACTGCCTCATTCTCAGTAATCTCTTCCACCCCACCACAGCCATTGACTCCCACAGTCATACTCTTGACCTTGCCATCACCAATATTGACACCACCTCTGAAGCGTCCATTTCCAGCCTCCCACCTTTTAATCACCAACTCCTTATACACATTAAAAAAACCACATTTTATTATGGAAATTTCCAAACATACATAAAGTAGAGCACAGTATAATGAGCTCTCCCCTAAACTTATCACGAAGCTTCAAAAACTACCAACATTTTGTTGATGTTGTTTCATCTATGCCCCTGGTTTTTGTGGTGCTATGGTGGTGGGTTTTTTTGGCTGTAATATTTTGAACTAAATAGTGGACATCATGTTCGTTGCACCTATCAATACTTCAATATGCATCTCTAACTGATAAGGACTTTTTGGTCTACCTAAATATCATGCTTCATCCCCTAGCAAAATAAGCAATTCATTAATATCACCTGATACTCAATCCATATTCAGATCTCCCTGGTGGTCTCAAAGGTGTCTTTTTTTACAGTCAGTACACTATTGGTTCAGGATCCCAACAAAAGCCACGTATTGCATTTAACTGTTAAGTCTTCCACATCTCTTATTTTATAACAGTCTCCAGGGCAGATGATATGGTTTCTCTAAAGAAATCAATGGCATAAAAAACAATGGAAAGGAGACTATTATTTAGTTCATCCTCATCTTCCCTCACAGTCTCACCTTTCCACCCAGGAGCTAAGTCCTCCTCCCTCTTTACTCCAGGGCTTGGATGGAAAAGAGAGTCAGACACAGAGGCCAGACCCACTTGGGAGAATTAGCAAGACCCACTAGGTTAAATTCGTATGGAGGCAGGAGATGTAATGGGAAATGTACAGGGACAGAGGTCCTATGCCATTCAGGGGCATGCTAGGTGCATATGAGCTGGGTACCCTGCTCAAGCTAAATGCCTCCATTTCTTCATCTGTAAAGCAGGAATAATGTACTTTATGTGCCCACAGACTTTTTCTGTAAGGGCCAGATAGTCAAAATTTTAGGCTTTCTGGATCAGACTGTCTCTGTCCTGGCTACTCAACTCTGCCCTTCTGGGAGAAAGCAGCCATAGGCAACTTTAAAGAAATGGGCATGGCTGTCTTCCAATAAAACTTTATTTACAATAACAGGTGGCCAACTGGACTTGGTCCATCCGCAGGCTGATGATCCTTGACCTAAGCGTTGCTGGGAAGATAAGGTGACAGGCGCGACGCTGCTCTGTGGGCTGTAACGCGTGGATCATTTAAGAGGAACTGGAGGGGCAGCTGCTATGGTAATAAAATTAAGCCTAGAGCGGCTCAGGGGCGGCGAACACTTCCAGACAGGAAAGGCCACGGACCCGGCAGTCAGGTGGGCATGGGCTCCGATGGGGGCTTAGCCGTAGGCCACCTCCTAACCCACGCAGGGCCGCTGTTTCCCAGACGGCTCAACGGGCGACCGAGGCTGCCTCCCGAGTGCAGAGAACGAAGCGCTAGCCCGGGTTGCTCAGCTCGCTTCGCTCATCCGGAAGCGAGGACGTCGCAGGTCGCTGCCCCCACCCCAAGGCGCTCCGGCCCCAGCCGCCAGCAGGTTAGTACCCGCGCCCCGGCCCCGCCCCCCGGAGTCCCGCCCCGCGGAGTCTCCCCTCCCCCCCGTCCCCGCCCCCAGAGCCTGCTCTGCGCCCGGCCCGCCCCCTGTAGTCCCCGCCCCTAGAGCCCGGCCGGTGTGCTCTGCGCCCGGCCCGCCCCCTGTAGTCCCCGCCCCTAGAGCCCGGGCGGTGTGCTCTGCGCCAGGCCCGCCCCCTGTAGTCCCCGCCCCTAGAGCCCGGCCGGCGTGCTCTGCGCCAGGCCCGCCCCCTGTAGTCCCCGCCCCCAGAGCGCCGGCCGGCGTGCTCTGCGCCAGGCCCGCCCCCTGTAGTCCCCGCCCCCAGAGCGCCGGCCGGCGTGCTCTGCGCCAGGCCCGCCCCCTGTAAGTCCCCGCCCCCAGAGCGCCGGCCGGCGTGCTCTGCGCCCGGCCCGCCCCCTGTAGTCCCCGCCCCTAGAGCCCGGCCGGTGTGCTCTGCGCCCGGCCCGCCCCCTGTAGTCCCCGCCCCTAGAGCCCGGGCGGTGTGCTCTGCGCCAGGCCCGCCCCCTGTAGTCCCCGCCCCTAGAGCCCGGCCGGCGTGCTCTGCGCCAGGCCCGCCCCCTGTAGTCCCCGCCCCCAGAGCGCCGGCCGGCGTGCTCTGCGCCAGGCCCGCCCCCTGTAGTCCCCGCCCCCAGAGCGCCGGCCGGCGTGCTCTGCGCCAGGCCCGCCCCCTGTAGTCCCCGCCCCCAGAGCGCCGGCCGGCGTGCTCTGCGCCAGGCCCGCCCCCTGTAGTCCCCGCCCCCAGAGCGCCGGCCGGCGTGCTCTGCGCCAGGCCCGCCCCGCGCACGTGTCGTGGTAGCCCAGGCGGCGGCATAGGAGGTGAGCCACGGGTGGGCGGGCGGTTCGCGGAGCCGGGACGGGCCCCCTCCCCAGGGTCCCCTCCACCCTAGTGGTCGAGCCGCGGAGCTGTGGGGCACAGATTAGGCCCCCCCCGCCCAGAATGGACGCCCAGCGGGGAGCCCTCTGCAAGGGTTCCGCAGGCCCTCCTCGCCCAGCCTGGAGCGCGGCCTTGGCGCTGGTGGGCCCGGGGGCGTTGGGACTTTGTCCAGGACCCTTGCTTTTCTAGCCTTAGCTGCTTCGTTGGGAATATAGGCCCAAGTGATGTGCCCCTTTAGGAATTTTCGTTAAAACAGGCCAGGCGGCACCCCGCGTTCTTGTTTGCAGCAACGTACTTGGTAATTAAACAGCTATCACAGGCAGGCAGGAAGACAGTAAGCTTCAACCACAGTAAAACAATTATGAACTCTTGCTGAAATATTTACGGATGAAATAAGAGGACGCCCGGGATGTGTTTCAAAATAAGCCAGTTGGAGGAGGAATGTGGGTGGGAGAAGAGAGGAAACAAGATTGGCCATGAGTTGGTTGAAATTGGCTAATGTGCTATTTTGTCTACTTTTGTAGATATTTGTAATTTAGCAATAAATTTTTTTCTGAAATGAAAAGCTTGCTGTGAGGCCCTGATAGCCTGTGTTCAAATACTGTGCCCGTGTTAGCTAGGACAAGTACTGGGTGGCAGAAATTTATTTTCTCAGGATCTGGAGGCTCAAAGTCCAAGATTACAGTGTCAGCATGACGGTTCTTCTGAGATCACTCTCACTGGGTGGGTTGTAGATGGTCACCTTCAGGCTTGTGCCCTCTAATCTTTCCTCTGTAAGTGTCTGTGTCTTAATCTGTTCTCTTAGGGACACCTAAGAGATTAGATTAGGACCTACCCTAATGACCTCATTTAAAGACCCCATCTGTAAATAGTTACATTCTGAGAGGCTGGGGGTTAAGACTTCAGCATATGAATTTGGAGGGGACACACAACCTGTAACGTTGCCACTTTGCTAGTTTGGGGTTTCAACCAATTAATCTATCTCTGCCTCAGTTTCCAATGTTCGAAAATAGGGGCAATAGTAGTAATTAGGTCATGGAGTTGTGAGGATTCAGTAGTTGGACAATATAAAGTCTCAGAATTGTGTCTAGCATATAGGAAGTGATAAGTTGAACATAGGTGTCACCTATAAATTCGTGATCATAGGGCCTTACTGTGGGATGACGAGTGGAGTGAGGCAGTTGGGTACTTCGTGCTGAGCCTAGCCACGGGAATAAAAGTCATAGGCATGGCAGTGTCACAGGGGCTGTCTGCTACCTTGCCGGACTCATTGCCTTATGTGTGTTCATTCATATACTCATCACAGCCACCCTAGGGATGCCATTGTCGGATGCCTGTTTGGCAGATGGGGCGGGTGATGCACAGAGGTGGGGGCTGGATCTGAACTCTGGCTCTGGAGCTCATGCTCTTAACCACCTCGCTGTATTGCCTCTGTTTCAAAGGACGTGACCCTGCGGTGTGTTCAGTCTGCAGGCCGACCCAGGGGACTGTTGGCTGATTCACTTTCTCCTGGCGCAGGCTGACAGCGGCGGCAGCCCTCATGGCCGGTCCGCTGTGGCGGGCCGCCACACTTGCGCACAGACATAGGACCGGCCTGTTGGTGGGTTCCTGTGCAGTCCTGTTCGGGGCCCAGATCTCCCACCACCTCGTCCCGGACCCCGTGATGCGATGGCTGTACCAGTACTGGCCTCGGGGCCAGCCCGCCCCGCTCTCCCCAGAGCTGCGGGGGCTCTTCCAAGAGGTGCTGCAGGACATCGGTGTCCCCTCCGGCCACCGCTGTGAGGCTTTCAGCACGTTCACCTTCCAGCCTGTGAGTGCTGGCTTCCCGCGACTCCCCGCGGGGGCCGTAGTGGGCATCCCAGCCACCTTCCTGGGTGGCACGTTGATCAACACCGATCACCCAGTGGTGGTACACGGGCACAGAGTGAACTGGCAGAGCCCAGCAGGCGCCCGGCTCAGAGACGCCCTGACGCTGTCCCGTGACGCCCAGAAGTTTGCCTTGGCCAAGGAAGTGGTGTACGTGGAGAGCGGTGCAGCTGCCCTCCAGGCCCTGCCGGCCCCAGCCTGCCTGGCGGGAACCTGGGCCCTGGGTGTGGGTGCCAAGCATGCCCTGGGGCTCTACGGAGGCCCCATGAATTTGCGGGCTGCCTTCAACCTGCTGGCGGCAGTGGCGGGCTTTGTGGCCTACGCCTTCTCCGCGGACTCGCTCACTCATGCCCTGGAAGCCTGGCTGGACCGCCGCGCAGCTGCCCTATCTGCAGCCTATGCCCGGGGCGGGGTGGAGTTCTATGAGAAGATTTTGTCGGGCAACGTCGCCGTGCGCAGTCTCTTGGGCAGTCGTGGAGAGAAGCTGTATACGCCCAGCGGGAACATCGTCCCCAGACACTGGTTCCGCATCAAACACCTACCCTACACGGCCCGCCGGGACCGTGTGCTGCAGATGTGGAGGGCAACACTCAACCCGAGCCGCTCCTGAGAGACTCCTCGCAAGGACAGAGGCACCTCACGCAGGCGCCACCCTGCCGTTGACTCGGGGGGCTCTCGGTGCCTCTGGACCCACAGCCCAGTGTCAGATAAATCAGAGACTCTGGAATGGAACGGCCTAGATTCTACCCCGGTCCATGATCCCAGTGACCTTGGGCAAGTCCCTTTTGAATCTGAGCCTTGGGTTCCTCAGCTGTAAAATGGGGGTGTTGTAAATTACCTGGCAGGAATTGGGGGTTGTGTGAGCTATGGATAAAAGGGCCTGGCCAAGAGGACAGGCCGAAAATAAATGGGATGTCCCTCCTTGGTCTTTGAATTCCTGCAGGCTGTGGGGGTCAGGCCACTTCTCCCCACCAGAGGTGCTTACAGGACGTGAACACTTCCCCAGAGTGAAGAACCACCCTGTAGTTCAGCTGGTGGTCTAATCTCACTTCCTTCTACTGCGGGAGAGAGAAGAGCTTTAGAGGCCCAGGTGAGAAGCTGGTGTGGCCCTGAGAGGCTGGGAAGTGGGAGCCTGAGGTGGGGTTTCAAGGGTGGTGTATCCAGCACAGATGACATGCTCAGACAGCGCCCCTGGGTCTGAAGGGGAGAGAAGGTGTTGCTGGAACCTGGTGCGACCTATGGCATGGGAGACTTGGCAGGAGCTCTGGCCAAAGGAAGAAGACGGAACAAGCCATTGCAAAACCGAGGCCCTGCAGGGAGGGCGCCTGCTGATGTAGTCCAGAGCATGGTCCGTAACCTAGAGAGGAGAGGGACTGGGGGTGGCAGGGAGGAAGCAGGATGGAGGTGGGTGAGATGGACTGGGCCTAGTGTCACACTCGGGGCCCAGGGGAATGCTGCACCCTTGCCCTGTTTGTTTCCCTCGAGCCTTCTGGTGGAAGGTAGAGCAGACCCCACTTTTGATCCTTGGACAGGAGACCCCTTCCCAGGGAAGGTGAGGGCAGTTGTGGCCAGTGAGCCAGACTCACTCAGCCATTCATGTATTTTTATTGTCAATTATGTTTTCCCTGGAAGAATGGAAGAAGTCAGGCCTGGCGCCAGTGTAATTCAGGGCAAAGAGACGGGGCCACACCCAGGGAAGGGCACAGAGCAGGACCAGGAAGCCCACTCAGCAGTGGCAGTTCCTGCAGGAGACTGAGTGGACAGTGAGCGGGGTGGGGTGGCAGGTCTTCCTGCTGGGTCCGTCGCCGTGGCTGGAGATCAGTGTTCGGGCTCCATTCAACCAGCCCATGGGTCCCAGCGTCAGGCCTGGGCAGACACCCCATCTCTCAGGTCCCGGGATGGCAGTGGGCACATGCTTGAAGGCAGAGGTGGATGGATGAGTTAGTGAGTGGGTAAACAAGTCTCCACTCTGGGAAATGCCACTTCAAGGGGCCCCTCGGCTTGTCACCCAAGTGCTACCACCATGTGTGAGTGTCTGATCTTGGCTGGAGAAGTGTAGGTTGGGGTGTGGATTCGGTGAGCTCCACCTGCTCACCACTCCCCACCCCAACTACTTTTCAGTACCGAAGGAGCAGGGCGGCGGCTTCAGGCGTCCCTGCTGACCTGCCCCAAAGGTAAGGAATGGGAGCCCCAGTGGTCAGGGGAGCGATGCCCTGAAA